TTCCTCATCTTATCCAGGAGCCAAACCAGGATCACCCATAGCACTTAGTTATCGTGTTTCTGTAGTCTCTCTGGCCTGGGATAGCACCTTCATCTACTCGTTCATGGCCTTCATACTCTTGAAGAGTACTAGCCAGTTATTATGTAGAATGTGCCTCAATTTGGGTTTGTCTGGTGTTTCCTCAGGTTGTGCATTTTGACAAGAACACCACAGAAGTGATGCTGTGCCCCTCTCAGTGCATCATATCAGGCGGCACATGAGGCTGATACGTTGTGGTACTCGTTATGTTGACTGTGATCACCCGAGTAAGGTGGGGTCTGCCAGGTTTTCCACTGTAAAGGTAGTCTTTTCCCCTTTGCTACTAATAGGCATCTTGTAGGGAACTACTTTGAGATGATGTAAGCATCCTGTTTCTCATCTTATTTTTACCCACAAATGTTTGTTTCCGTTGATGAGTCTTGCTTAAAACAACCACGACCGTGGGTGTCTGCCAAATGGTGGTTTTCTATTTCCTTCACACCTTCTAATGTTCATCAATTGAAATTTTTCTGTAAGAAAGGCTGTCCCTTTTCCCTTACTTGTTTATTCAAACATTTATATCAGTATAGACACATTATTTCCTATTTTTCTCTTGTTCTATAAGTTATAATCTGTTGTGATCTTTTTTTTTTTTTTTGCTCAAATTATCTCAGATTTGGCCATCGGGAGCTCCTTCAAGTTGGCTACTGTGTTCAACAGGAAAGTTTTGAGTAAAACTTATGACAAAGTTATGATAATGAGGCATAGGGACTTGTAAGGAGAAGGGAGAGGAGAGGCTTCCAGGCCTGGAGGGCAACCATGGGCTCTATACCCAGTGCTCTCTGAGGATGCTTGCCAGCCTCTGGGCTGGCTACTCCTGACCATGAGGGTCAGGAAGATGCAGCCACGTGCCTTGCTCAGGTAGAGAGACCTCCACTGAAGGTGCCCCACCTCTATCACGACCTTCCCAGGGACCAACCAGCAGGCTGCAGCTGCTACGGCACTTGGGCTGTTAGTGCATCTGCCTGGCTTTGCCCAAGAGGGGCCCTCCGCCATGTGCACGGACACCTCCACCTCTAGCCACCTGCTGCCTGCTGCTGCCCCACCAGACCTGCCGTCACCCAGGGGCGTGGGGTCCCCACTGCTCAGCCCCTAGCTGACTGAAGCGTGTTCCTTTGACCTCCTTGCCTGAAGGGGTTGTATCCGGGGAGGTGGCGAGGCTCTCAGAGCTGTGGAGTGACAAAACCACTTGGCCTGGAGACCATCTAGGTGAGACTGGCTATCGTTTTGACTGGCTAGCTGTCGTTTTTTCAATCTAGGGCCTCTGTGAAGTCTTGAGGGGATGCCCAAAAGGTAAAGTAGGTTGGAGCGGGCGAAGGGTCGGGGGACTGGCAGTTGGATGACCATCCTTCTGGTCCAGGCCCCTCCCCTGTTGACAGGGATGGAGCTGAACCCCAAAGGGAAAATGGCTTATCTAAGGTCACGGGGACACTTGGTGGCTAGGCAGGACCAGGACTCAGTGCCCAGAATCCTTGTGTCCTCCTCACCATTTACACATTCCCAATCTGCTCTGCTTCTTGTTTATCAATGGCTGATGAGGCCGTAGTCTGTGTTTCCTTGTCCATTTCCCTTGTTCCCACGGCAGGCGGAGAGACGGAGGCCAGTCTTCCAGCCCCTTCTGAGGCAGGGCCTCTAGGCACATGAGCAGCACTGACCCTTCACCCCCAGGGAAGGGGAGCTGTCCTGGGTCATTTAGCAAAGCAAGGCTGAACTCACCTTGTAATCTCTCCTGGCTGGAGGCCCATGACCTCACCCAGACCCATCACTGAAGGGCTAGAATCTGGCCACCTTTTCTTCCTTCTCTCCCTTCTCTTCCTTCAGTTCAGAATGGGAAGCCTCCTTTTTTTCCTCTTTTAAATTTCATATTAACCTTTAAGATAGGGTAAGCATTCACGTGACTCAAAATTCAAACTTTACAAAAGTTACACTGTAAGAAGCCTCCTTTCCAATTCTGTCCTTTGGACTTCCCCTCCCAGGGGCAGTCACTGTGGTTCATAGGATTGCTGTGAATTAATCCACAGAAAGCACTTAGAACCGTGGCGGGCACATGTTACACACACAGTGCGTGCTGCATCATTGTTTTTATTTTTAAACTCAATCATAGCTTTATCTCCCACACCCAGCACCCGAGTTTCACCTCCTCAGGCTCCCAACACTGTAGCCCTACTAGTTGTGACCATTTTGAACTGGGCCCATGCCTGGTGACCTTTCTGCATCCTGTCCCTGCTACTCCTCCAGGCTGGGCAAGCCCTCCCCACCCTGCCCCCTGCTGAAATGCTACCTATTCTCCAAAGCCCAGCTCAGATGCACCTTCCTTTCAAGGCCTCAGTCTCCTCCTCCTTTGTATTTCCCCATCCTTCTCGACTTCTGTGGTTGACTTTCCACAACCTCCTGCATTCATGTGAGAATCATATATGCTTTTGCCATCCCCCAACTCAGCTGTCAACTCCCTGAGGGCAAGGCCGGGATCTTTTTCATCACTGAGTTCCCTGCAGCACTTAGCACGGAAACTTCCACGTGGGAAGTGAATAAATGCCTTTAAATTTAACTGCAAATTTGAACTCATTGGGGATGCAGAATGTGGGCATGTGAAGAAATACGTACGCTGCCCAAGGTAGGACTCATTACTTCTCCATGGTCTAGAAGCCATACTTTTATTTTTTTTATAAATTTATTTATTTTTATTTTTGGCTGCGTTGGGTCTTTGTTGCTGCGCGCGGGCTTCCTCTAGTTGCGGTGAGCAGGGGCTACTTTTCATAGTGATATGCGAGCTTCTCATTGCGGTGGCTTCTCTTGTTGCGGATCACAGGCTCTAGGTGCGCAGGCTTCAGTAGTTGTGGCTCGCGGGCTCAGTAGTTGTGGCTCACGCACTCTAGAGTGCAGGCTCAGTAGTCGTGGCGCACGGGCTTAGTTGCTACGCAGCATGTGGGATCTTCCCGGACCAGGGCTCGGACCCATGTCCCCTGCATTAGCAGGCGGATTCTTAAGCACTCTGCCACCAGGGAAGTCCCTAGAAGCCATACTCTTATAATCAGAACGCACCAAGTTTTTCCCAAACCTCACAGGTGGGTTGGAGACCTGCTTTCTTCTGCTCACTCATTCCCTGTCATTCTGCATTTGATTTAACAAATCCTATAGTCCTGCAAACAATGTTTGCTTTGCTATAGCATCCAACTGTCTTTCATTCCTCCCAAAAGATAAGGAGCAGGTGACAGAGAACCAACTTTAGTGCAGGACCTCATTAGCTTTGGGGCACAGACACACGACATGAATCAGAAACTTTCTACTCCTCACATAATGTGGCTCCAAAAAATCTAGTTAGGCTACTTTGCTTATAACCAAAATCTTCCTGAATACACTTGTGACCGTATGTGTGACTGGAGCTCAGAGAAGAGGGCAAGGTCACCAGTCTACATATCCATAGGGACTATGTTGGGTTACATGTAATAGAAATCCTAAATAACTAGTTTCTTCTTCCCTCATGTAACATAAATCCTGACGTCTGGTGGACCACACCCTCCATGGCAAAGACTTCCTCTACTCTTCTGCTCTGCCATGCTTAGGATGTGACTTCCATCTTCCAGGTTGCCATATGGTCATAACATGCCACTGTGGCTCCAGACATCACATTCGCATTCCAGACAAGAAAAAGGAGAAAGATGGTAAGGGGCAAAAGGGCACAGCTGAGTCAGCCTCCTTTAAAGAGGTTTCTCAGAGCCTCTCCCAGCAACTTCTATTTACATCTCACTGGCCATACCTGTGACCCATGCACACCCTAACTGCAAAGGAGCCTGGGAAATGTAATTTCTTAGCTGGGCACATTACTCCCCCAAATAAACTTGGGGTTTTGTTAGTAAGGAAAAAAGGGGGAGTAGGGATGGGGTTGGTAGTTAACTGTCTCTGCCACAATTGGGACAACTAAGGAAGACTTCATGGAAGAAATGGGCCACAGTAGGATGAGATAAGAACTTACCACATGCCAGGCACTTTATTAAAACAGGTTGGGGAGGGGAAGCTTCTGGTATCTTCACATGCCAGGGAGCGGTTCCAGTTTCCGTTTTAGAGATAAGGAAAATGAAAGCTAAAGCTATTCAATAATTCACTCAGGGTCATGTAAATGGCAGTCTAGATTCAAATTCCAGAATCTGCCAGGCTCCCTTGTCCCTGCCAGCCTCACCTGTCATCTGCCAGACTCAGTACATATGTAAGAGGAAGGAAAGAAGAGGGTTCAGAGATGGGGAGGCTCTCGGTGTGTTTCCAGGACAGAACTCTGACAGGGTCAGAAGGAAAAGAGAATGGAGAGGCCCAGATTGTTCCAAGTGAGTGTTTTCAAATGTAAGGATATCTTACTTACTTATGGGCTAATTGCCAGAAGAACTTAATCTGTTTTACACTTAGCATTAGCATGAAATAAAAGTCAAAAATCAAATGGAAAACTGAGGAGACGTGTGGGGAATGAGAGCACCTTTTGTTGAGGACCCCAGAGACAGGGAAAGGGAGAGGATGGGAGGCCCATGCCAGGCTGGAGGGCGAGTGGGGCAGGGGGTCTCTGCTCACGCCAAGTCCCTCCTGCTCTGCGCAGCAGGCAGCACTCTGCCACCTGACAAGAGCTGGTGAGGCCTGACCGGCGAAGAGCGTGCCGGGCTGCTCTGGGTCCCGGGAACATTCCCGCCTCAGGCTGGCGGACTGCGCGCAGAGCGAAGGGGTCAGATGCATCTCTGCCCCTTAGGAGCTGGGTGCCCGAAGCAAGTTACTTCTCTGACTCTCACCCTCTGCATCTGAGAACTGAAATAATCCTACCTTGCAGGACTTTAGGGAGAAAAAAACAAGGTGTACATAGCCTGGCAAGTGCTTAGAAAACAGAACCTGCTAATTTCGTTCACATAATTATTATCATTGCTTTTGTCATTGTTGCTGTCTAGTAGATGATGGCACCATCGACTAAAGCCTGGAATATAGAAAGAGGAACGGCCTGGTGGAGGTAGCAGGGGAGGCTGAAGATAATCAGGTACAGTATTGCCCTTTCAAAGAGAAGCTGGATCCTGGCCCTGGCCTCGATTAGTTAATGCATCGAAGGGTTAAAAACAGGAAACAGAAAAAAACCGTATTCCAACCCTGTATAAATTTATCAGTAAACAGTCTGGTAAGCCCCTGTGATGTGCTCGGCATGGTTCTAAGCTCTCTGACAAATATATAAAAAGTAGAGTAATAACTCAGTTAATCCAACCATTGGGAAATTGTGGCAGGTGAATTTTCTGGACGCCTGAAAATTTACCAGCCCCACACACTTTAGGCACTTTTTTCTTAATGTTAAAAATTGTGGACGGAAATATTTTTTAAGCGCACTGTTCTCATCCCTGGCTTCCTAGTGACTATCGAATACATCGTCATTGAGAACGACATGTGCTCTGCTGTCTTGTGATAGCGTGATGGCCCTGGAGGCTGTGGGGTGAGGCTGGCTGTTTGCTTCTACCCTTATGGTCCCTGCACGCTATTTTGTTTTTACATTTGCTTTTATAGTTTTTCTAGGTGTTCTCTCACTGTCAGGCTTTTGTGTGTTAATTTTCCCTTCTCTTTTTGAGCCTCCCTTCTAGTGCTTTCACTTTATTGCTTCTGATGTGCTCTAGGTTTGGAGACCAGACATAAATGCTTCGTCTTTTATAGCCCATCTCAGCCCAAAAAGGAATTAAGGGAACTATTACAGTTTATCAAGTACCTACTCTGTGCTGAGCATTTTACCAGCTGTTTTGCAGCCATTATTTCATTTTTTACCACAGCCCTGTGAGTTGGAAATTTTTATCTCCATTTTTTAGAAGTGTAGACTGGGGCTCAGAGAGTTTAAGCAGTTTGCCCAAGGTCACACAGCTGCTGGTGAGTGGCCTAGCTAGAATTCAGATGCAGTGTGTCTGGTACAGGGACCATCCATGCTTTTCCCGGTGTGCTACACTGCTTTGAGTCTGTGGTAAATCACATGCTGTTCGCTGTTGCTTGTTACTGTGTTGGGTTGTGATAGCGTTATCTTCCTAAATATTATAGAACGTAAGCCCCTTGAGGGCAGTGACCTGGCTGCCCACTTGCATACTGCCCACACCATTGCCTAGTGCCAGGATCCAGGTGGTCAACAGCTGCTTTACAAAGAGTGGGAGCCTGGAAGAATGGGGGCAAGAGAATGGAGTGGGCCATTGCCCCTTGGCACCCAGCACCTCATACCTCCCTGCTACCTAAAACCTTCAGCTTGCCCCAGATATTCGCTCAGCATTTGCTGAGCCCAAATCTCCCTTAGCTTGAACCAGCAGCTGCGGAAGCAGCCCACGTGGTCCACTCTGGGTTGGGAAGGAGGAGTGGCTACCCAGGCTACTGGCCTCCCCCTGGGGACCGACCAACATGGAAGCCAAGCCCCGGTGAGACACTGCAGGGAGGTGGCAGCCCAGTGGGGAAGGCTGGTGTTGGGTCCGGGATTTTCACTAAGAAATTCTAGAGCAGGTACCTCTGAGTAAACTCCTACAGAACTTCTTCCCTGAAAGGAGAGTGACTGGAATTCCAGTGGGTCCAACTTTCCAGCCCAAGCAAACAGCAGACCAGTATCCCAGCAGGGCCTGATTTTGCTAGGTAATGCTGGCTCTGAGTCTTCGCTTCTGTGACTCAAACTTTGAGGCGAGAAACTGCCCCATCACATGACTTACGGATTTCGCCCTGACAGGACAGTTTCTGTTTGTGTTTTGGTTCTCTGTCAGACGCTCTGAGCTCAGAGGGGAACCCCACCCTCCGTGTGCCCCGGGCACACTGGCCGTGTCACGTGACCACAGTTGCCTGCGAGCCAAGCATTTCTCTGGGTGACATCATGCCCTTGCTGATTGCCCAGGTGTTTCAGGGCCTCCCGGGGCTGACACGGAATTTGCATCACTTCTGATACTTGGCTCTTGATTTGTTTGTCTTTGGTTAATAGCAAATCTGGATTGGGGTCGAGGGAAGTTGTTGAGACAACCAGACAGCAAACACGTCCCACAGAAGCTTGGCGGGACTTGGACCTGCGGCTCCTGCCCCTCCTCAACCCCAGGAGCCATCACAGGTCTTCTGGGCTCAGGCCTGAGGCAGAGAGGTTGCTGGTTCAGACTCTCTAGCACCATCCCGGGACTTACTTCAGATTCGGGACCTCTCTGGACCAGCCTCGAAGGCTCAGAACCAGGCGTTGCTGAGACTTATGCTTTTACGTGGCTCTCTCCTCACTTCCCCCCTCTTCAGGGGGGCCAGCGCCAGAGGACCCTGGATTTCTCTCCTTCCCTCTGCTCTGGCCATTTGCCTGGAGTCAGAGCTCAGCCTTCCCACCTTCCACTAACCTTGGGTCCATGGGCAATCACTTCCCAGACCCATGGAGGGCCAGGACTGAGGGACTCTGCAGAGACCCCCCCCCACCCCCATTACTTTATGGGGAAGGAAACCCAGGCTGGAGGGTTTCTTAATCCATTTTTCTCACCCACCAATTTCCAGCAACCTTCGCCTCTCTGGCCTCAGTTTGCCCATCTGCCGAGGAGTGGGAAACAAACCCCATTCTCCCAACCGCAGGATGAAGACTGGGACCAGCTGAGTTTGTGAAAGGGCCTATTACCCCATTGCTCCAGAGGTTCTCAAGCTTGAACATGCATCTGAATGCCCTGGAGGGCTTGAAAACAGAGGGAGGCTCCTCCTTCCCACCCCAGGGTTTCAGTAGGTCTGTGGTGAAGTCAGAGAATTTGAACATTTTCAGACGATGCCGATGTGGCTGGTTCAGGGACCACACTTTGAGAAGCACTGCTCTAAATCTCCGGAACTCACCCCAAAGAGAGGCGGTGTGTGCTGGAGCCTCTCACGCTGGCTCCAGGAAGTTGGTAGCTTGAAATCAGCCACAGTGGGAGTATTCACACCTCGGGAATCAGTAAATGCTGCAAACCAGTTTTGTTTGTTTTTTTTTTGCCAGGGAGCTAGCTGGTAAACATTTACCGGCACACCGCTGGGTAAGAGGGCAGCCTTTCTCTCCCTCTGTGCCCCAAGACTGGGGTGCCGTGCCTCAGAAACAGGACAGGAAAGCTCAGTCAGAACTCTCTGCGCCTCCATTTCATTGTCTGTAAATTGGAAACACTAATAGCATCTACCTCCCTGGCCCACAAGAATTAAGTAAGAAAATACCCGTGAATCACTTAGCAAAGTACTCAGCATAGAGTAAGTGCTCAAAAATATTCGCTCTTGTCCTTAAAATCCTTCGGATTATAGGGAATCTGTATTTTGTTCCTACAAGATTACAAAGTTCTATATAACTGTACTCCTGGGAGGGGTGGAGACCATGCCATTCTGAGCTTCACAGCTTTGGGGTGCCTGCTGGTACCTAGTCCTCCTTCTCTGGGGACCCCCCCATTGCACAGTGTGAGCCCCACCCAGCCCCCGTTTGTAATGTGTGACACCCCTGGCCGTAGCTGCTTACAATAGATACTCGGGGTTCTCAGAGTCTCTTTCCTGGGAACTTGGACCTGGAGCCCAGAGCCAGCCTGTAACTCACCACCTCAAGGTCAGTGGGGCAAGCAGGCTCTGCTAGCAGCCAGAGGGACCAAGGAAGGGCTGCACAGAGAAGGGGTGGAGCAGGTGGGCAGAGGCAGGCACGGGAGTGAGGTGGAGAAAGAGGCCTGAGGACACCCCCGCCTCTGAATCTGGGCTCGTCTAGAAGTTCTGCTGCCCTGCCCTGGGCCTGCATCCTCTCAGCCAATGTCCACTGTGGCTTAAGTCGTATCACGTTGGCTTCCGTTAATTGCAACCTGAGAGTCCCAGCTTCTCCACTGACTCTGCTCTTTGCTCACCCCCACCTGCCCCAGCACAGGCTTGGGGCCCGTGCCTGCTCGGCCCTGCCTGCTGTGGACCTTGGGCAGGACTCAAGGCCTCGCTTCTTCCATCTGCTCGTTGAATATGGACTTGGGCGGAAGCGAGCCTCCTTCTGAATTTTCCCCGTTATATGGAGAGAAATGAATATTCCTGACATTACCTACTCAGTGTCACCCCTGCTTAAGACCCTGCAGCAGTCCCACCCCACCCCCGCTGCTCTTGGATTGACTCCAGGCTCCCTTCCTGCATTCTAGACACTGTCTGAGCCTCTCCTGGCCCCTCTCAGACCTCCACTCTCACCTCTTGACTCTGAGGGATATGAACCTGCTGGCAGTTCCCCAAGACCGCATGTTCTCTTTTGGCTTCTCTCTGTGCAGAACAGAATTTCCCCAAGCCTACAGCCAACTACCAAGCATTCTTCAGGCTCCCCCTTCGGTGTCACTTCCCCTGGGCCATCTTCCCTAGCACGGCCCTGGCTGTACCCCTGTGCCTCGCACCCTGTGCAGTCTCCCATTGGCGCGGCCTGTGCCACACCACAAGATCCCGAGTGCAGGGGCCAAATGCAGGCCCCTCTTGTTTCCCCAGGTTCCACGTTGTAAGGGCTCAGTGGATGGTTAAATAAATGTTGTGACCTGAGGAAAGGGGGGCTCCAGAAACTCAGGGGCCATCACCGTTGTCCGTGGTGACCTCCAGAAAGTCAAGTTTCCAGAGGGAAGAAAAGGAGAGGAAGGGGTGAAGGCAGCCCTAAAATGGGTCAGGTAGAGTGCCTGCTGGGCGATCAGATAGAGAGCTCTCCTGGAAGAGAAGGTGCAGATTGAAGAGAGAGTGACATTGGCAGGACGGAGGCAGTGTGAGGTGTAGCGGGTAAAAGCACAGAGTCTGGAGGGAAGGTGAGGAGGAGAAAGAGGAGCACGAGCCCTGGACATTGGACTCCCCTTCCTAGACCTCAGGCTGTGCTTGTTCCCTAGAGGCTCGGGCCGCCGTTGCCCATGGACTTGCTGGTGGCTCAGCCGCACGATCGACACGTGTGTCTAACCTGAAGGAAGTCCCCTGTAACCTGACCTAAAGGAAGCTGCTTGGAAAGTTACCGCAGATACAGTTCTCCAGGGATTCCCTTGCCCTACTCAGCTCGCGAAAGCCCCTCTCCAAAGCCAGCCCTGCTCGGAGGCCCTGGACAGGGAGTGGTCACGGTGCCCAGTGCCGGGCGGCGCGTCAGAAGGCCCTTGGCTTCCCCCTCACCGGCTCCAGGCTGGCTCCTTTGCGAGGCCAGCCAGAGGGCTGGATGGCTCACCTCCCTTGGGCACAGGTCCCATCACAGCATTGCTCCAGCCATGGACGTCATTCCCCAGTTACCGCAAAATAGGGTTACAGTTTCTCCCATGGTGTGGAAATCCCAGGAGCCCTCTCAACCACCTGGGCCGAATGCAGAAGTTGGGCTTCTGGTCCATTAAATTCCCAGTCCAGGAAGCCTCCGGTATGAGGCTTCCTTGTAATCTGTGATCTATTTTCAGGGCTGCCCAAGAAAGACTTCATTAGTTTAGACATTAGGACTTTAATAGATGATTCTACTAAAGTTGGGTACACAAAGAAGAAGCTGAGAGTTTAGAGAAAGCCTACATTCACCTGCCTTCCCCAGCAACTTAAGAGCTAGTTTTACCCCTAAGAGCTTATAATCTAGATGGGAAAAGAAAATGAAGGTGCATTACATAAAATTGTGGAGAACAATTAAATATTAACCGGTGTGGTGCTCGCTGATTGCAACAGGACTATGATGTGGCTCAGAGAGCCAGTTCTGCGTCAGAGAATTCACGGAGAAGGTAGACTAGAGTTGGGCCTGCAGCGGGGGGATTCGGGTCAGTGGAGAAGAGAAGGCAGGTGTTCCGGGGAAGGGGAACTGCATGAGCAATTGCCTGTAGAGTATGCGGGACAGGAGGCCTGGATTAAGCAGAGGTTGTACATTAAATGCAGGAAGATAAGATTAGCGAGAGGGTGAGAGAGGGGATGCGCGTTGCAGGAGGTGGAGGCGGGGGCAGTTATGAAGTGTTTGCACGCCTGCTCGAGGAGCTGGGGCTGATGGAAATGATGGGAGGAGGGCGGGGTGAGGGAGGGGAAGCATTGGAGGGCTGAGGGGTGGGGAGGGAGCTGAGGAAATTTCCAGCAATTGCTGGCCACCAGCAGGCATGGGCGGCTGACTTGAGGGCTGAGGGAGCGCTCTTCCCTCCAGGCCCCGCACCCTGCCTGGGTGGCAGGGGCTCTACAGGCCCCTCTGATAAGGGTTGCCAGCAGATAGGTCACCCGCTGCCCCAGGTACCCAAGGTGGCCAGCCTTTCACAGGCCCTGGGGAGCCACTGCAGGATCCGGCACTTCAACAGGCATTTTGAGGGTAGCTGCTAGGCGCAGAGCACCACAGGGAAACAGAGAGAAGTGAGGCGGGCTTCCTGCCCTCCAGGGAGCCCAGTGTGCGGGAAGAGAACAGATGTGGCCGACAGCACTGACGGAAGGCCAGGTGCAGGCTGAGTTCCCAGGCTGCGGGGGAAGCAGGGAGTTCAGTCCTGACTGGAGAAGGAGCCTCTGCGGAGGGCGTGGGGTTTGTACACCTCAGAGAGTGAATTAGAGGCATTCTCTGCCCGACAGGAAAGATGGATAGACAGGGAGGGAGAGCTTCCAGTGAGAGAGCAAAGAGAGCTCAGGCAGAGGCTGCAGACCTTGCGACCTGCCCGCATGAGGGTCCGGCGACCTTGTAAGGGAGGCTGGGGACAGAGGTGGAAGTGTGGCTGGAGGCAGATGCCGTGCCAGGTCGGGAGAAAGAAGGTCTGCGGGTCCAGGGATCCGCGCGGCATTCACGGGACGCCTGGTTTGAGCTGTAGATGTCAGGGCACAGGGAGGAATAGACAGGCCCAGCACCAGCAGTCCCCAGGCCAGTGGAGGAGGCTAGAAACAGGGACTTCTGCTCGGTGTGGAGAATGCTCGAATTCTGTGGGTGCACAGAGGACGGCGTGGTGAATTCTGCCCCAGACCTGGGGTGCTGTCGGGCTGGGAAGATACGTGGGCTGGGCTCGGGGCCCTGGGGAGAGGTGAGGGTTTCCTGGGTTGAGGGAGAGGGGGTTTCGGGCAGAGGAGTCAGCACAACGAAGGGGTTGAAGCTAGAAAAGAGCAAGGCACAGAGACCAGCAGGGTAGTATAGCCAGAGCTGCAGGCTGTGTGTGTGTGAGAGAGACAGACAGACAGAGAGACAACAGGCAGAAAGAAAGAGGAGGGAGGGAAATGGAGAGCGAGAGAGCTGGGAGGTGAAGCTGAAGCGGAAGATTGGGGGCCAGCCTGGGAGGCCCTCAGCTGCCCTTCCAGGGGAGCTGGGCATCACTCTTATGCGATGAGGAGCTGAAGCGTCTCTGAGCGGGAGCAGTGAGCTAGGAAGTGAATTCTGACCTCTGCATGGAGGAGGATGGAGGGGGCAGAGCCAGGAGGCAGGGACACGTTGGGGGCCGGGGCACTCCCACCTAAGAGGAGAAACACAGAAGATAAGAAGGTCTGTGGGAGCAGGATGTGAGTTCTGTCTCGGACGTTTTGAGTCTGAATCGCGTGGGGCGATGTCCAAGAAGAAGTGGAAAATGCTGGAAATCAGGGCAGAGGTCAAGCCCCTGAGGAGCGCTGCCTCAAAGCCTGAACGGGACGAAGAGAACATCTAGGAGGTGGCCACAGCGGTCACGTGCCAGATGGCCCCGGTGGCAGACGCGGGGCAGGAAGGGAGGGCCCCTCGGGAGAGACGCGGGTGGAAGGAGGGTCACCTGTGCGGATATAGAGCACGTCATTAAACCTGTAATGATGTCGGTGATTTCGGAAAAGGAGACACACGGGGGGCAGGTGAGTTTGGATATGAGCCTGTTTAGTCTTGGGGGGGGTGGGACATTGTTGTCAGGGTGCTCAAGCCACTTACCCTATGCAGAGGTGCCCGATGTGCATGGAAGGAGTGAGAGGGAGGACAGGGACCACAAAGTGGCCGGCGGGGAAGGCAGTGATGGCCGAGCCTCTAAGAGCATCCAGGCCCCTGGCCCCAGCTGTCACCCTGACCCTGTGTGTGAG